CCTCGGGCGGGCAGGCGCACGTCTCAGCCCGCGCTACCACTGCCGAGGTGCCCCGAGGCCGTGAGCCCGTGAGCCCGGCCCGAGCCCCTCGCCTGTTTCACGGGTTGCGCCTTCAGGCCGGGACGAGGGTGCTCGGGGTTGCGGTGATTTTGCCCCTGCCTCTCGCTGTCCGGCGCACCTCGCCCAGCCGMGCCCTGCCCAGCGAGCACCGCAGCTGCCTAAGGTGGGCAGTGAGGCAAAGGAGAGGCTGGGAATTCTCGCTGTTCCTCGATGTGGTGAGATAACAACATAGAGACCAGTCACAGAACCACTGGCACAGAAGAACTAGAAAGGAAAACGTGCGTGTGGAAAGTCATAAGGAAAATCAACTCAGTAGATGGCCTCCAAGTTCTCATGGAGCTGGGAGAACCCGGCGTGGTGAGGCCCAGCCCTGGCACCTGGAGGGGGCACGGACACTTCGGACTGCTCCCGTCCGCCTGGGGTGTGAGCACCGCCAGGGAAAAGCCCGGAGTGCTGCTGCCGCTGGGAGAACAGGGAAGAGTTGTCTCTTGAAGAGATGTCATTAGCACCTGCCAGCGAGAAACCGAAACAGTTTTCCAGCAGGCAATGTGGGACCATGGGCCTGAGAACAGACAGCTGAAATCTGTGAGAGGATGCACATGAATGCGTGAAAAGCAACCTAACCACTTGTGTAAATAAACCCTTCAATAATACCTGGCACTGAATTTTGGTATGCAGCAGGATGCACTCATCCCACACAATTCCTTCCTACAGCTGCTCCTCCACAGCCCCCCATCCCTGTGTCAGTCCCTGTGAAATAAAAGAGTTCCTTGTCTCTTCCCTGGAGAGAAGGAGGGACATATTCGGTTGGAGTAGGGAAGAGCATTGTTTAGTGATGTACACCTTCAGAGTCACAGAAGGACCAGGTTTATGATAACTTCTAGCTCAGGTTCATAGTCCAGTGGGAAGAAGGCAGCATTAAAGAAGCTGCATTAAGACTGCTACTCTAAGTGTTGGCAGTCCAACTGTGCCTAAGCAGCAGGTTAGCAAACATCATTTGAGCCTTTACATTTGGAATCCACCTCACATTAGATTTCAATATAAAACTGAAAAATTAGTGTYTTCTGAGCATTTCATTATTAAGAAAACTAATCAATCAAAAATTCTGGTAGATATGATGAACACGTAAACAAGCAGAGGAACAATTTAAGATGCCTAAAGCATGCATTCATTTGCAGTATTAATTTTCCTTTCGCAGGAAACTACTGATTTATGTAACTTAAAAACACATTTAAACCCCCAGTAGCCGTCACATGGGTGTCATGAGAGAAACAGGGAAAAAGGTAAGAARGGAAGATTTGCTTCTGACATTTGCTGAGTTCAGCACAAAACTCCCAAATTAGGGTAATCTGCCATTTGTGAGGGATTACTGACTTTCCCTACTGATTGTGGTATAAATAGAGCCCCATTTAAAAAGTGCCTGTCTATTGGAAAGCAGAATAAAAGTTGCATTCCAGCAAGCACTCATTACCTACACACCAGCTGCAAGAGACTGACTCAGAATCACATTACTCAAATCAACTTGAAACAAGACAACCACCACTTGCAATTAAATTCCCTTCCCTCAATAAACTAAGCTGGAAAGCTTGGAAAAAAATAAACAGCATTGCAGACAAGAACACAACATTCTGTTTTCTGATGGAAAAATAGATCCCACAATGTCAACCCCCTTCAGGAGTCGCCCTCTGATCAGTCCCCCATGCACCTGTAATCTGAAGGGAGGGCACTGCAGCCTCCAGATGTACCCCCAGTGACACCATCTTGCAGCTGTGGTGACAACATTCATGAGGACAAAGACAAGTGTGTTTTTCTCACATACAAGAAACACAGACAAACACATAGAAATCACAGWAATGTCTTTATTGTAAAAAATGCTTAGATGTCCAGAAGTTTCTGGAGTACTACAGGCGTTCCCTTTGTTTCAGGTACTTTCTTCTGTTTTATAATGCATACAAAGATTTTGTTACATACAGGACAGATTTTTTTTAACATTCTCTCAAAACTCTTTCTGTGTTCCAGTTTAAAATGTGAAGAGTCACAGAAAATAAAAAAAACCAAGAGACAAGGCATTCAGCATTCTAATTTAGCTTCTTGAAAACAATCTTGAAAACTGTCATCAGCTCTGTTCTGTGTGCATGGAAACTGAAGCTTCAAAAAAAAAAAGAACTTAAGAAAAAGCTAAAGAAATCTTGCTTTATAGCACAGCACAGTAAAACAAGTGTGTGCTAGAATCACTGAGAAATACTTGCAAATATACAATGCAATTTGTTCTCAGATACAAAACCTGACTGACAGGAATGGAATGTGTAATAGAAACACTGTGCAAAGACTACAGAATTGTGTGACAAGGACAAATGCTTCATTTATACTAAAATTGTGAATTACTGGCTGCATATGCCAACTGAGGTAATCAGAACCGTCATTAGCCRGTCTGCCTGGGTGGAAGCATCATTACTGAAGTTCATGCAGAAACACTTCACAACCAAAAACTCTGGCACTGACATTTAGATGCTTTCTTTGGAAAACCTGAGCATACTTATAAACTGTATTTACTCTCAAAGTTATTTTTATACTTCCCCATTCTCTTCTCTATTATTCTGAATAGAGCTCCACATCAGGAATTGCAGAAAACCATGGAAGTTATTTAYCTTTAATGAAATAGCATCAGCAATCCCTCAGTAGAAGCTGATGCATGAAATAACATTTCAGATGAGACATCTTTCTCACCACCTTTTCTAACACCATGTTTCGGGCAAGAGTATGCAACGTTTCTGATGCAAAGGCCAGCCACCAGAGAGTGCTCCTGACACATTTTACCAAGGCTGAAACAACTCGGGGATGCTCAGCACAGGTTCTGCATCAGGCAGSCATGAGCTTCCCGCAGCACTGTCCAAAGATTGAACAGGAAGAATCAGTGGTGGGTGGAAGATCAGGACCACTCTGGGACCCCATGGCCAGGGCTGAGTTCACATGCTACATATGTTCTGACAATTAGTGTCCTTCATTAGCTGATGCTTATCTTTACATTATAGTTAGTAACATATCTAAAAGAAAGGCATCTAAGGAATTATTTCCTAASTGAAAGAGTGCTGGAAAATCACCTGGGCAAAAACTATAGAAGCAGTAGCTGGTGTTTTATTGTAAACCCTGTTGATGCTGAGAGTAAGTATTTTTGTTTTGGTTAAACATTAAATTCTACCACTGGTATTTGTTTCTCTTACTACTTTCAGGTATCTCAAGAAAGCCTTGTCTGAGGGATATGGTATAAATTAAATAGGAAATGGAAAGGAAGGGCAGAGGAAAATATACTCTTTTTTTTTTTTTTTCTTAATTAAAAAACCCCAAGTCACTACAACCCTAAGGAGCAGCCAGTCTAGGCAKGGCACCATCGAGCCCAGATACAAAACTAGTCTGTTCTACTTAGGACTCCAATCCTCAAGCAATGCTTAGGCATAGCTACATCCCTACGTACAGCACTCTGTATATTCTGCTTACAGGATGAAATTGCTGAATTGGATCTTGTAATCAACACAGGGCTAGGGAAAAAAAACCTGACCGCTTGAGAGAAAACCTCAGTACCCAAAATCCTTCCACTCTTTCCAGGATGGGGCCTCAAACTGACTGCAGCTGTGCACACAATTTAGAAAACAAAACAAACCAAAGAAACAACCACACCAACACAAACAAGATACMTAATAAGGCACTGAAGAAATTTAATCTTCTTGAATGCAAAGCTGAYTTATCAGGCCTTGACTGGCTTTTTTCCATATTCATATGCATAGTAAATAAGAAATATAGGATCTGTTTAGCACCCAGAAAGTGTTGATCCTCACTCACATCCAAGTATACAAAACAGACTGAGAGGTAAAAGGCACAGCCATCAAAGTTACCAAACAGAACTGTGTTATCACAACTGCTGCAAGGATTTGGCATCAATCAGACACTGCAAAGCAATTTTTTTTATAATGCACTTCATAGCTGACATTTTAGTACTGTCAGTTCTTATAATGGATCTGACAAACATGGATCTGAGGGGGAAGGGCTTCCCACTTCAAGAATTTTTCAGCATTTCCACTTTGTTTTCGTCGAGTACAAAGGGAGACGGGAATTCTTTGTTCTTCATGTACACCTCCAGACCCTGAGAAGGTGTGAGAACAGTATTGTTAGGCTGTAAATGCACTATTTKAAGTCCTCAAGGGAATGATTGTCAAAGGTCAAGGACAGGCAACAGGAACAGTTTCCCTGGTGAYAGAAAGTGTTTCTGGGGTTCAAGCAGAGGTGCTAAGGAACCATACAACATGATGTCAGAAACAAGCTTCTTGGGGGAGGCATGGAAAGGTGTGTCCTTAACTAACATTAGAATAATCCTAGCAAGGTAAGTCAACTTAAATTGCCTTGTTTTCATTTTGTTCTGACAAAATATTGATTGCAACAAGTTTGCCACCTGGATGTGTTGAGGAATACACATAGTGCAGGGAGCTGGMTTGCAAATTAACACATGTGAAAACCTAGCAGTTCCCACATATCCTACTGCAATTCACTATTTCTCACCATGTCCCTCCAACACAGGGAAGCTCCTATTCTCACTACTAAATGGAAGCAGRTTTCTCAGGATCARTTATTTTTGGAGGGACAAAACTTGATGAATGGCTTCCCTGAAGYCAACACACATACCACACTTCTGAGTCAGGATTCACTCACTGTGGGAGATGGACACAAATGAGAACAGAACCCATGGATTTTCTAATTTGGATATTCTGCACTTCTCATTAAGATCTYGAAGTGCTTGTGAGTCTTAATGAAATTGCAGTCTTGTTTCACATACAATTTTACAAACTGAGAGTGAACAAACTGCTGAAGAGTAAACCATAACAGAACCACATTATGGTAACACAGAGTCCAAGTCCCTGTTTCCTTGATCTTACCATTTCTCAGCAGGCCCAGGCCAAAACAAACATCTGTGTTCAGAAGGAAATCAGATGCATACCTGCACACTCTYAAAAATGCCTCCAGAGATAGTTATTCTCACCTCTCCAAAGTAAGACACTAATGGAGAAATCTCACACACAGCCGGAGGATTTTCAGTTCCTGAGAGACTAAAAAAGAGAASACATAATTACCTTCCTGCCATACCTAAAAAATAGTGCATCTTTTTCAAAAGATCCAGAATAGGATATCCTGAAGTATAAGACATTTGCTATAGTCATATGCACCAGACATTATGAGAACACAAAATGTGAAAATAAAAAGGAATTAGCAGGTTCCAAATGTTACTCAGCAAAACCAAAACACCACTTTTACAGAGATGCTTTTCAAGTAAAATRAACAGCTTGTGGGTTTATAGAACCATGAGTTGACAAAGAAATGTCCCCATGGAGTAAAAGCAGCCTCCCATTACACATGATGCAGGAAGTGTCCAAATTGGTTAATCACTCTAACCACTCTAAGCCAATCCTTAAGCCCACCTGAGAATCCTCTTGGGGCCACAGTCAGAAAAGCTGTTGGGGCTTACAAATCAAAATTAATCAAGATGTAAAAGGCTGCCACTGTCTAACAAGGTGCTATAGAAGGGGCCAACTCATTACCCCAAGAGCAGGGATCAGCCAGAGAGAATGCCCAGAGCTCTGTGTACTAACTGCCTGGAGCATCACAGTCATGAGAGGAGCAGGAGCTGTAACAAACATCAACCTGCACAYACAGAGAGGACCAGCTGTCTGGTCATGCTGAGCCACACTGGGACTACAGTAATGCCCAGTTTTGGATAGCCTGGCACCTGCCATTGGCCAGCTGGCACAGCTGAGCACTTCCTAAAGAGAAGCTGCAGAGAAGGTCACAGAGATTTATACCTGAGTTTTTCTGGTATCTTGCAACCATTTTCATCCACAAATCTGGCCCCAGCCTTGAGAGCCCAGCGGTAATGCTGGGCCAGGAGGGCTTGCCGAGCMGTGGTAGGAGTATCTCTGTCAGCTGTGTCTGCATTTTTTAGTGGCGAAAACTCCTCTTCTCTCAAAACTTCAAATACCACAAAATTCCTACCAGCAAAGGGAAGACAATAATGATCAAGGAAACCAGAGCTAGTCATCAGCCCTGCTAATGCAACAACAACACTCAAAGGAAAAAGCTCATATATATTTTAAGGAGCAGCATTGTATGCAGCCTGGGGCAGTCAAGCCAAGAGAAGCTCACTACCCATCTGAAGAGCCAAGGAGTATCAGGGCTGTAGAATGGAAAAACACAAGAAGCCTTGTCTCTTCGGGAACATAACAACAGCCTCCCAACCCACCAGAGCTATGCTCAGGGGAGAGAAAAAGCAACAGTTCTGCAGAGATGTCATAGAAGCCTCTTCAGGTAGTGGAAGGTTCCTGGACAAGACAGCTCAGAGCACAGCAGGATGGAGAGCACAGCACTGTCCAGAACATGGACACAGCACAGGCAGTGCACTTACTGCAGAGCAGCCCASCATGTCCCAGGAAATGCTCACCCTGCTTGGGAGTCTGTAAGAAAGGATCACCTAAGGACACCAGTTCCCAGGGACAAATAAGCAATAAGGGAGGTSTCACAGGTGAATGTGAAGTACAGCTGTTTACTAGAATTGGGAATGCAAATTAAAAATACAGCARTATCTGTGCATTTCTGCACTTCATGTGTGAAGCACAACTGTCAAGGTGGTTGTCAGCTGTTAAAAAAGCATAAGGAATCACTGCTTGCAAATGAGTCCTGTCACAGCTCAGAACTCAGCACTGTACCCATCACCCTGCTTTTGTCTTTAGTTTGATACTACTTTGCTAAATATGTCAGGAAACAGAGACTGGTTCAAACCTTAAGCTCTCTATTCTAAAGGAAATCCTCTGAAAAGATAAATCCTATCCCCAAACAGAGATACTTCAGTTTGCCTGAGGTATCTCTTTGCCATTTATTTAAGCCTAAAACAGAATATTCACTGCTGAATTTGAGACCTTGGAAAATAGATTTTATAAGAACACTTATGCTTAATTGCTAAAATCCCACATTCCTTAAACACAAGCACCCCTGACTATGAATGTCACAGCACTTCTAGCTATGTTGTAGAACTAGTAAAGTGAACACTGACAGTTCCCACAGCAACAGTAACTTAGCCCCACCGTGCTTAAGTGAATAGTTTTCTGAGCACAAAGGGTGTGAGCTGAGCCCTGGTGTAACAGCAGGCAAAAATGTAACCAGTTGCCATGGAAGCCACCATCCTGAAAGGCCCAATTTTGGAAAGTCTGAATATTCCAATATGGGCTTCATTTGCATTGCACTCGATTTCCTTTTATTTTTCCCAGGCTGGCAGAGGCCAGGGCAGCCAACATATCCTCAGCAGGATGACCAGTCTGGGAGCAGGGCTGGCACAAGCACTGAATGCCCTTTGAGCTCTCCTTGAGACTGCAGCATTACTGTTGGGTTGKAGTTGGATGTAGATCCAACAACCTTCCTAACAAGCCACCCACAAACCATGTGCTCCCTGGGATGGCTTGCTTCAACTGAAAGTCATTCAAACAAACATTGAGAAGGAAAGGAGAAAAGTAAAATTATGTCTGCCACTAACTTAGAGAACTGGAATACATCAAACACAAACTTCTCCAGCTTTATCCCGTTCGGTTTTAGTGGTTTTACCAGATTTCCCTCCTTGTCAATGTAGGGCACCTTCTTTATGGCTACATGATGCATCAGCTGTGACTCCCATTTCCTGTAAAAGGAGAAGAAACCATTTTATTCAGTTCAAGCCCACTTAGAAAAAAAAGCAATACACTTGTGAGAAGTAGATGGCTTATTACTGCTCTGGGTCAACTCTCAACTGTTTTGGCTGTTGCTCCCTCCCAAGTGATCCAAGTCACATCCAGGAAACACTTCCCCATGCAGAGCAGCCTGGCCACAGGCTCTCCCTTTACCAGTCAGAGGAGAGGAAGAACTTTGCATCAATTGAAATTGCAGACAGAGGTTACAAAAAAAAAAAAAAAAAAAAAAAAAAAAAAAAAAAAAAAAAAAAAAAAAAAAAAAAAAAAAAAAAAGCAAACCAAACTGTTATCTGATCGGGTGAAAATGAAGCAGAGCAGATCCCTCACCCAAGGGTGGTTCCAGCTCTTCAGAAAGGTTGTACAACTGCGCCCTGAATGCCCAGCATCACATTCCCCAACACCATGGTGCAGTCTACCCGCAACTTCACCCTCTCCTGCAAACTCTGCTGTGCCAAGGGTTGGCATAGGTGACATTCCCATTGGAAATCCTTGGTGTGAGGCTGCATCACTGACCATGCTGCATCCTGCACAGCTGCTCACCTTTGAAGACCCAGGAAGACCATGCATTGGTATATCTCAATCAATTTAGTTACAGCAAAGCTGGGAATTTCTGCCTTGGGTAGGGCCTGGAGAGCATGCTGGGGCTGTTAGAAAGGGSACTCAGGTATTTGGAACCATTTGGAAGAGACAGGAAATGAAAGGCAACACAGTGGCTAACCATAACTGAAATTACAGAGTGGGAAACAGGAACACCCAGTCTTGGAAGAATGTCTGGGCTGCACAGCTACCTAGAAGGTCTGCTGGGACTTACTGGGCCACTGTTTCCAGGAACTCAACAGTGAAGAAGTGGTTGCAGATGTTGCCAGCACTGAACATCAGTCCCCCCTCAGGGTGCTGCAGCTGTGCAGTCTCCRGGCTGATCTCACTGTACTCCACCACCTGGTACACCCCATCCACACAGCACACCACCCCAACAGGCTCCGTGGGATAGGCCTTCTCCACTACCTGCAGCCACAGGACACAGGTTTATGCCAAGGAGGAAGAAAATCCCAGGGCTATTCCAACTCCCAAGTACAAACAATCCCACAAGATTGCTGCCCACTGATTTTCCAGCACCTTAGGGCTGTGCAAGGGGCACATAGCAGTCTTGGAGACACATTCTGCCCAACAATTCAACATAAATCCCAATACTCAACCACTTAAATGGACAGTTTCTCAGAAGACAAACCAGTTTAAAGGAATCAGCATACYGGGGGGCACTTCCCTTATGAAGGACTAGGATCTGGCATTAAAAGAAAGCTGTTTGTAGCTATTAGCCTTCAATTCCCTGTTTGTCTAAACTGTGCTAATGATTCAAGGCACCTATTGCTTTAGGTTGACAAAATCCAGGCTTTCCCCATCTTCCACAGCAGAGTGAAAGAAATACCTCAGTTAGACTTAAAGGTGCATTTATAAAACATAACCCAGTCCAATATGGCTTCTAGACAGCCCAAGTCCCTTTGTAGAAAGGGCTGGGCATAGAGGGGAAACAAGTTCAGTGTGTAGCTTCCTGTGCAGCTATACCCCCTGCTCTAATTTATTTTTCACAGTACTCTGGGAAGAACAGAGGACACCCATGGGTATGGATTTGGAATGCAGTGCAGGCAGCAAGCAGCTCTAAATCTGCTCAGAGTGAGCTGCTAATGGGCAAAGTGCTGAACACCCCAGGTCATGTAAGCACCCCACAGCCAGCAGCTTGCAAGTGTAATCAGACCCAAACTCCCTGCAGAAAACCAGTGCTAGCACTGCTTCACCTTTGCACCGCAGTCGGCCCCTCTGGAAATACAGAAACCTATGAAGACTGGATCTGCCATTTTCACGAGGATATTGTCCACACAATATACATGGACATACTGGATTCCACGCTGCTTCATATCATCCAATATCTTATTATCCATCAAAGCACGGTATAAGCCACCATTGCCATCTATAATGCAAGAGAAAAGAGAAAGTTTTGGCTCATTAGTGATTTTGGGGTGGGTTTTTTTGTAGCTAATAGAGCAATAGCAGAAAGTACTGAACAAACCTTCTTGAACACAGGAGTGGGGAGTGCTTTTTAGCCAAGAGCCAGTGCTACCAGATTTTACTTCCAACTCTCCCACACAGTTTGGGAGAGCTTGCTCCTCTTTTCACCCCAGCTCTCTCACCTGCAGAGTGGGACCACGGGGACCAGTCTCACTGAGCAGCATTATGAGACTTTATGAAGGCTAGTAAGATCCTCAGAAGGAGAACACTAGAGGGAAAATCGATGCAGAGCGTGGGAAAAGTCTTTTACATTTCTCCTCCAGTGCATGGCAAAAGCCWATTTATTCTCTTTCTTGGCGAAAGACTAAATCTTTTTCTGTGTTTATCTTCCCCCCACAATTTCTCAATGCCTTTTTAAAGGCTTGAACTGAAGCTGCACAAAAGACATCTGCACATTTATCACAGATCACCCATTTACAGTTCCTCCTTGGATGTCCCTGTCAGCTCGTGAGAACTACGCTGCAGCTGCAACAACAGTCCCAACTGGGCTGCCTTCACCAAGTCTCTTACCATATTATCTTGGGTTGATTGTATGATAACACTCTATTCCTATATTCCATCTACTTGTATGCCCAAAATGTCTTTGTGCCTTTAAATCCAACCCGGAAGAAGGGGCAGGGGTGGCTGGGAAGCCAACGCAGGCAGTTAAAAGCCAAGGCAGTGCAGGCAGTGAAAAGCCAGGGCTGCCGCCTGCACGGGCTGTTGGGAGCTCTGCTAGGCACTGAGAGAGCTCACCTTGCTGCGGGCAGGAGATTTATATTGTCACTGCTTAGCTAGCTCGGGTTTGTTAGCTTGGGCAAACAGCTCTCCCTGGACTGCCACCCCTTCCACGGCTTCTGTGATTTTCYTCTGGAGCGGATTGGCGGGGCTTCAGCCCAAAAACTGAGAGGCAAACGCCGACCAGCCGGCAGGGACAAACCACGGGCACCGCTCCRTCTCGTCCTGGACTCCGGAGAAGCCAAGCCRGTGACAGAAAAGCACACTGAACCCTCTGTTTCATCCACAGTCAGGAGAGGACTACCACCAGGCTCCCACTGTTGCTCGAGCATCTACGTGGACTTTTCTTTTGTTTCTTTTTTTCCTGTGACAAGAGCTGCTCCATCTTTCTCCGCACGATGTGCTGAGCGGCTGTGGGGGCTGGGGGCAGCGTTTGTTCCTGGGCTTTTAAATATCTAACAGTTACTTTTTTTTATTTGTGCGCTGTGGGCACCTTGTTTTGATAATAAAGTATTTTTCTCTTCACTTTTGCCCAAACATATATTTCCTATTGGTGGGAAAACAAGTATCAAATTTTTCACTTCAGAGGAAACATTTACCCTGTAACTTTTTTCTCTGAAAACATTGTCTCAAACTGAGACACATATCTGGGCTAAGAGAACATTACAAGGTGAGACATTGCTGTCATTTTGAAAAGAGTTAATCTTCTTGCTGCTTTTTTAGTCATTTCCAGCTATCAGCCTTGAGCTCCTGACCTTCACCACAGGAAGCAGCACCCCACAGACCTCACAGACAGTTCTGCTGATGCACCTTTTTCCTACACTGCAGCCACAGCACTCCTAATTCTGCTAATACTCCCAGACTTGGCTAAAAAACATGTGCTGTGGGCAAATCTCCAACAAGARCTAAACAGAGGTATGCTCGTGATTACTAGCCTGAAACATTAGCAGAACCTTTCCACAATGACTGGAAGCATTGACCCTGTGACCACCAAAGCCTGCTCTCTGTGCCTGGCATGGCTGATGGCCTGTACCAATTATCAACACACACGATTGTACTGCAGTATGGAAGAGCAAACAACAGGTACCTGGAGCCATGGCAATTTTCCCCTTCTCCTCCAAGATGGCCTTCCCATCAAAGGTGACAGCAGGGAGCATCCTCTGTTCAAACATGACAACGTTGGATCTATCCAAGTTGAAGTAGTTGTGTTGTTCAAAAAACTCTTCTGTCGGCCCCAATGTGAACTCACTTGTCATGATGTACCTGGGCAGGAATGGGGGCCGGGCAATAAGTAAGAATGCACAAGCRAAACACAAAACTACAAACAGAACATAAAAGAGAGGAACCCCAGAAGTGTGAGAGACACGGCAGCATCCTGTGACACATGAGAGCAGCAACTGCACAGGAGAGCTTTCCTCCAGAGCTTATCCCGWGGTAAGGCTGCATGGGGTGCTATGACCATATCAGGTTATGATCCTACCCTGGCCTAGCTCCAGCCAGAAAAGAAGAGCCATGCCCTAAATATGAATGATATCTGGATATCTGGATAAGCTGGAAAACAAGGCAAAGGGCAGAGAACAGCCTCATTCACCCTATATTCAAACTGATGTCTAACTGATGTTAGACACTGATGTTGAGTGTCTAAAGAAACACTGACCAGCTCACTCTGCCAGCATCTCTTCAATGCCAAGGCAAACAGCAGTATTTCCRTATGTTGGCTGCATGGTTTGTTTTTACTTCAAGTTTTTCCATTTCCTCTTCTCCTTTCAGCACCAGAGTGCTTCTGTCTCTTCCTTCACTATCCTCTTTCACTACTGTCTAAAGCCCATCTTCATCATCKACCTGTCAAGCCCCTTAAGAACTGCACAGGAATACAGGGTCCTCTGTCAGCCTGACAGAGCAAACAACCCTAGCACAGGAGAGCCTGGACCTCAGTCCCCCATCCCCAGTTTACATTTCTGCAGCACAGCTGGGCTCAGGCGTACTGGAGCAGCAAACTGCCTCAACTGTGTSCTCAGTCCCAGAAGGGGAACTGGAAACAAATGCAACAGCACCAGGATGATGCATTTGCAATTCAGGTCCTATATATAAGGCTTCAGGAAGAAGTACAACATGGACTCACCTTCCATGAGGAAAYAGTGTATGAATCAACTTTGACCTCCAATTTGTAAAACAATGTGGTAACCTGAAGCCCTCATACACTTGCTCTCTCACTGCCAAAACCTTGCCTCAGACCAGACACTGATTTCATAAGGGGATTTCTTCATAGTCTTCACAGTTTAACAAAGAACACTTATCAGAAAACATTTCCAGACTTATCTGCAGTGCTTTCCTCTCACCCACCACATCCYATAGAGAATTCGCATTTTGCACTTTGCCCAGAGCTCATCTGTTTTAAAAGCCAGGAGCAGCCATCAGAACTGACAACTGTAAATCAGTGTCAGCAGGAGGTGGCTTGAACACAAAGCAAGAGGTTTTTTGCTGTGGCASAGATTATGGACAAGGGCAAGGAAGMGRAGCTTGGAAAGTGAGCTCTGTGTTGTCCTGCRTGCAGGAACCTGAGAAAGCAGAAATGGATGAAATTTCTTGTGAAGCATYTGAAACAATCACTGAAAAGTGCTGTTTATAGTGTTGCCAGGRCCTGTGCCTGGAAAGACAGCAAGGTACAGCAGTTAGGGTTGTGGTCAGTGATGCAAAGGCAGCACTTAATCCCTCAGGTTGGCAGACATGGACCTGCCACCTCCCATCCCTCTKCACCCTCCTCCAGCCACTGGCATTGCAAATCCGGCCAACAAAAGGCTCCTCCCGACCTATTTCTATACAGCATTCAGCTCAATGCTTCTTGAAGACAGCATGAGCAAGACTGGAACACAAAGAGCCCTGTACAGCAGGTCTGGCTCTGGGTCACCTACCAGGGGATGGCACACTTGCAGTGGTGTCTCCTGCCAGCAAGCTGCTCCACTTTGCGGATTCTTTCTGCTTGGATCTGATACAAGTTTTTGCCACTGGGTAATCCCACGTTGTACATGCCCTTGGGATAGCTCACACCCAGGCGGGTTCCTTGTCCTCCAGCCAGGAGCAGCACTGCCACCTTGTTCTGTGAGATCTGATGTAAGCCTGAACAGAAAAAGAAGCCCAAGGGAACATAAAAACCTCCAAAGCAATCAACACCCCGTRTTCTCCTGAGCCTTTCTGCAGAGCTCAGGCAACAGCCTGAAGCTGCCAGCTCAATGTTGGCAGCTCARAGAGAAATATGTCACTGCACACACAGGAGAAAATTCATTTTAYTTCCTGGATGCAGCAGCTTCCTCACCGAAAGCAACAATTGGTGCAACAAAAGACAATAGCCATGACCCGCACCTTAGGAGATTACAATTGGACACTGGGATAGAAAGTCTTTACTGGGGAGATAGTGCCGCACTGGAAAAAAACATCCAGAGAGCAGGGAGATGTCCCCTAAAGTTTTCAAGGCTTACATTGGTAAAGCTGCAGCTGACCTGGCCTTGGCCTATGTACAGTTCTGTTCCAAATGGGGACTGGACTAGACACCTCCAGAGGTCCCTTATAATTTCAGCGTCCCAAAGAAACCACGTCTCATCATCTTGAGTAAACATGGGCATTTCTGGATCTGCCTCAATCAATTATCTGTACCTGTACTCAAGCTTCAATAGAAGCTGAACACAGCTGCAGTCAGGACTAGTAACACAGCCAAGCCTGCAGGAACCACAGCTTCCACAATCTGATTAAAACCAGTGTCAGTGCTCCTGATAAACCAGGGAAGTCCAGAACCTGGGGAAGAACCAGAGCAAATAATAAACAAGCAGCTCACTCTCAGTCTTACGTCTCTGCCTTCCTCCAGGCCAGCCTCACAATAGTGACTGACAACAGTGAGAAAGATTTTTCACTAGGGAACACTTTGCCTTGCTTTGGGAATGCAAGGAATGCTGGGCCTGCCCATGTCAGAAGCCACAGCTCTGCTGCAATAGCTATCAGGGCCTTCTGCCACTGCACAGTACTGASCTGCCACTGCTCCTGCAGCCAAGGACAGACTGTGGAGCACCCCAGCCTTCAGCAAACATCCCATATTAACCATAGCTGGGGCTATAACACTCCTGATTTGGACTGAAAGAAATTGAATTAGAAGAAAAACAGGATTGGGTTTATGCTAATCTTTAAATAATTGGTTGTTTAAATGAACAACAGAAGAAAAATATCAGTATCTGTTCTGATCAAAATATCAATYGCTGTTTTAACAATCTGGCTTGATTTTAATTCTGTTCAGAAATGCAGCTTTCAGCAATAAAATCACATTTAAGTTGTCCATGACACTCCAGTAACACAATTCCCCTTCCCATGCTTCCAAGTTTCAATCTCACCAGAGCAGTAACATAAATCTTTCCGCCTAAACACACCCCTTCCAAAAACACTGGTGGTGTCCAGGCACACAGGGAGCYGGTTCCAAAGCCATGGCTCTGCTTAGAGCAGCCTCTGGGGTCACAGGGCCACAGAAGTGAGMGCTGGAAGCCACCTCTGGAGATCTTCAATACTACAAATGGGATTATGAGAGCACCCTAAGGGTAAACCTCTGGGTGGAAATCATGGGATTTCAAAGTTTCAGGAGGTCCTTGGATAGCAGGGGAAGCTTAAACAGGTTTAAATTTGTAGTGTAAAAGACRCAGAGGATCTGGGTGAGCTGCCTGGTGATGCAAATAAGACAACCAGCATTTCACAACCAGCATTTATGAACAAASCACAAGCAATAAATGATTCCTTTGTGCCTCCACTGAGCTGCCCATGAGACTCACAGCACAGAGCAGAGGGTCTCAGGTATTAGTTACACCGTAAGTACTTGTCCCAGTCCCACGGTTTTGCTGTGTGCTCAGCTATTTTCCAGCACAGGGCACCACTGCAGCAGAAGGGAAAGAGCTGAGTGGAGAGGCACCAGAACATGGCTCCAAACCTCCTTGTGTCCTGGCTTGAGTGGTGGCTGTTTCCCTACTGRGATCCAGCACARAAAGAATTTMTGGAATGAGAAAAAAAAWATCCTAAAAAAAGTTGCCCTGTGGGACACTCGCAAACTRTTCTGCCCCATCTCTGGAAGTGTTCAAGGCCAGGTTGGGCAGGGCCCTGAGCAATCTCATCTAGTGGATGGCATCCATGCCCATGGCAGGAGAGTTAGAACAGGATGATATTTAAAGTTGCTTCCAACACAAACCATTCTGTGATTCTATGAAATGGGCAATGAAAACATTTTTTACATTATTTTTATTTTAAATAATCYAGAACKGAAACTGCTYGAGCCAAAGTATTTCACAGTAATTYAAACCAAAGCYGCTTGAGGTCTGAGGTCAGCATTTGCTGGTCTCAGTTGCTGCAGCATAGGGGGTGCTCTGGGGTGCAATTGAGACTCAYCCACCAGTGGAACAAGTCAGGCACTCATCCCACTGCACTTCCCTCCTGCACTGCCAGGCTCACACCAACACACACACTCAGSTTCCGATGCACCAGACCACATCCCATAGATCCCAAATCAGAGGTTTCTGCAGAGTAACACACTGTGACCAAGGGCAATCATTCACATGACACTCTGGAGTGAACACTGTATTGRTAAAGTCAAGGARGCCCCCAGTTTGTCCCACAGCATCRAGGAGCTACAGTTCTCAGTCACACCTCCCAGGTGTCACAGCTGGCATCACCCCACTGAAATGCAGATGCCCCAGAGGAGACAGCAGTTCTGAGAAGTTTTCCATGCAGTGACAGGGGGAGGGGATCTGCCCAAGAGGGCTTGGCATCTCACACCTGTCTCCTGGAGGGGCGTCTTACTGAAGGGACTGAAACCTCAAAATCAGTGGGATGAACCCCAGCCCAAAGCAATATCACTGACAACATCAATGAGATCACTTTTTCCACAATCCAGCAGACTGATAGGGCCATATACCAGGAGGGCTGACCATGGTGCACCTGAACAACCCAGAAAATAGAGTGCTTCCCATCATTTACAGCATTCTCAATATTCATGGTACAACCCTACAACTCAGAGAGTTTTTCCAAGTTTTGATCTTAGGTCACTATGAAAACAAATAATGCCAAAAATTTRAGTAGGTAGCTCTGCTCTGACTTCCCAAACATAAAATTACCAATATTGACAACTAAAGTTCACAAGAATTGACTCATCTTGCTGCATATTCCTGGAGTAAATGGAAAGATCTAGCCCTTAAAAAAAAAAAAAAAAGTCTTATTTTCTGCAGCATATGAAATACAGAGAACTTAACTAAAAAGAAAATGCATTGGCTGTTGAGATACCCACCAATGCTGCAGTCAGTCTACTCTGCATAAAAAGTAAAAAAAAAACAAAAATAGATTTTGTAGGAGGAACAAACTGGTCTTGCAAGAACAGACTGAATTCTCTTATTGAACAGGCATACCAGCCCCATTACAAGAGCAGTCAGCCAGAGAAGAAAACTCTAAACTTTTTAATTCTTCAGAGAAGTCAGATAACCAGAATGGCTCATCAAACTCTCTGATGAAATGGGGCTACACTTCAGCCCATTGCCATGGCTTAGATTTCATGAATAAAACACTGACAGAACGTGAAAGTGCTTGTGTCTGTGTTTGATTTACACCATCATCCTGAGAGCTGCCTAGAAAATTGTGATTGTTAAATGTCGGTGTTTAAGATCTGAAAGCAAATCTGACCAGACAGTTTTGTTTTCTGAGAGACAATAACAATAGTATTATTTTTTTTAACTATTAAAAATTATCTCAGGTTTTCCCAAGACAGGTGCTTGAGTTGTCTGGYTCTTTTATCCATCAAWTTTATCATAGAAAAAGGGAGAGGGRAAAGRAGGAGACRTAATTTCAGCTGTTCAGTCTTTGGAGGACGCAATGCAGATGATGGCTGCTGGGAGCTCAGACATCCACTAACAGAACACAGAGCAGCTCAGCTCAGGTTGATGATGACCCAACAGCCACAGGCTGTACCAGCAGTGCAGCCTCAGGGACATTGGGCAGCAGGTTAGGATGGCTCATCTGCTTCCATCCTGCTCAACACCACCAGCAACTCACTGCAGACAAAGGCCTTCCAGAGCTGCATCGCCTTAGGGACCCACAAACCTACAAAGCCTGTGCCCATGACACTGGTTCCMATGGAAAATGCCATGCAGGGATGCTGCTGGGGATGAGGCCATGTCTGCAGGGACACACAGCAATGCTTGAGTTCAGCAGAACAGCCTTTGCTCCCAATTGTCCTCCAGAAAATAAAATCCCTCTTCAGCCTTAAACTGGATCATAAAAACAAACCAAAGGAAAGAGAAYATCTATTGGTACCCCTTCTGGTAGAAATTCAGGCTGCCTGCAGTGCTGAGGTTGCCTGGACTTCAGGACCAGGWGATTTGGGCACAGTGGCATGATCCCAAATGTAGACCTGGGCTGCTGCAGGCAGTGCTGGCAAACCAGCAAGGCCAGCCCACACAGGAGGCCTGGCCTTCCCTCCCTTTCCATGCTGAGGCCAGTGGCACAAGGCAGACACACCAGCCCCTCACCTGCCTAGTGGCCTGGGGGACAAGTGACCCAGTTTGATAAAAAGCTGTTAGTTTACCTGCACGACTCTGACCCAGCCCCATCTCCCTCTAGGGCTCGAGGGGCTCCTTCCTCCTCACCGTGACACCCTCAACAGCCCTGCCAAGATGGACTTGAGGGTGTGGTTGGATGAGAAATTCAACATGTACCAAGTGCACTGGCACCCAGAACCCCTCCTGCCCTGGGCTGATCCCACAGCGGGCAGCAGTGGAGAGGGGAATTCTCTGCCCTGAGACCTCCACCTGCAGTACTGCCTTCAGCTCTGAGGCTGCCAACACAAGGACATGGAGATGCTGGAACAAGTCCAGAGGAGGCCACAGTGATGCTCTGAGGGCTGAAGCCCCTCTGCTCTGGAGCAAGGCTGGGAGAGCTGAGAGTGTTGACCTGGAGAAGAGAAGCTCCTCTTAGAGCTTCTTAGAGCTTAGAGAGACCTTAGAGACCCTTCCAGTGCCTAAAGGGGCTCAGGGAGAGATGGAGAGGGACTTTGGACAAGAGCCAGGAAAAAGGGGGAATGGCTTCACAATGACAGAGGCAAGGGTTAGATGGGATATTTTGAAAAAATTCTTCCCTGAGAGAATGGTGAGGCCCTGGCACAGGTTATCCAGAGAAGCTGTGGCTGCCCCATCCCTGGAAGTGTTTAAGGGCAGGTTGGACAGGGCTTGGAGCAACCTGGTCTAGGGGAAGYTGTCCCTGCCCTTGGCAGGGTGTTGGAATGAGATGGTCTTTAAGGTCCCTTCCAACCTAAACCATTCTGGGATTCTATGATYCAGTGTACCAGCTAATGTTCTCCCCATCACTACTCAGCCCCATCAGTGGAGTCTGATACAGCAGTTCTGTAACCATGATGCTTCTATTTCTGTCTCTGCTTGGAAAATTTGACTCCCCTGCCCACACATCTTCACCACTTTGCTGGCAAGACTGGGCCAAGGCTGTGCAACCACTAGTCAAAATTTAGGCAAGTATCTCTACAACCACAGGTGGGTTTTCCTGGCTGTTTTTTACTAATTAAAATTATTTTTAACAGTGCTGTTATATTTTATAAAGAAAGACACATGAGCCCTTATGAATAAATAAAATAGAGTGTGCACTTAGAAAAAAGCACAGGACATCYATGTAAAAGCTACATGCTGTGGAAAGAGCATATCCAGCCACCATCTCCTCCACTACCCCCAACTTTCACACATCCACATCTAGTAGGCTCCAAAACCCATGGATTATGGACTTTGCTGGGCTTCTTCCATCCACTCAGCTCCCAGATCCCATCAGCTTCCTGCCACACATGACACAGCATGGATGGGGATCAGCACCTGAGTGCAGCCTTTGCACCTGCTGGTGGGCTGGGAGTTTATCCTCCCACAAAGGCAGCTACCCAGCTCAGCAGCAATGAAACCCCTCCTGCTCCCACCTTCCTCAGGGACTCAGAGAGTCATAGAATGGTTTGGCTTGCAAAGGACCTTAAAGACCATCTCATTCCATCCCCAGCCATGGGCAAGGGACACCTTCCACTAGACAACGCTGCTCCAAGACCCATCTAAGACCGGCCCTGGCCTTGCCAGGGATAGGCAGCCATGGCTTCTCTGGGCAACTTGTGCCAGGGCCTCCTAACCCTCACTGGGAAGAATTTCTTCTTACTATCTATTCTAACCCTGCCCTCTGTCAGTGTGAAGCTCTCAGACTGAAACAGTTCATGCCTCAAGCAYTGATATAAAGTTTTACTCATTACAGCAAAACTGTAAGAAGAAGCTACCAAAGTCCACCCCTCCCTAAAGGTGCCYGACTGGGACCTTGGACTGAAAGTCTAACTGCTGATATTAGATAAAGGCAAATCCATCCTTCAATCATCTCASGCCAGCGGAGAAGTAAACAAGGAAAAGAAAGAGAGCCAAACCCACCAGCCATGCTAAGAATCATCTCTGGCTTGTTTTGGGGTGGGGGAGGCCTTAGGCCACAGACTCATTTACTGGGAGCAGACACAATGGCACCCCCTCACACACTTCATGCCCCAGGGAAATGCCTGGGTTTTCCCACCTACMCGGAATGTAYATTAACCCATTGGATTCTACGCTTTTTGGGGCACCTTCACCACCAAGAAGACCAGCTGGAGAGGATCAAYRGAATATCGCTGGGATCCACAGATGGCAATATTTTCTTTATTCTGTCTCTGTCATTCTCCTGTCTTCCCACCTATTTTCCACTTTTTTTTTCTCTCTCTGTCATATTTATCAAATAAAGCCCATACTAATGACTGGCATATGACCTCRTTTACACCTTGCTTCAGGCAGAGGCATTTCTAATAACTTTAGTAACTGGATCATGACAGAAGCTATTCCCACTTTTTCTGTGACTCCAAGCCCTTGTCSAAAGTCCCTCTCCAGCTCTCTTGAAGCCCTTTAAAATTCTTTAGTATTACATATTTTTTCATGACAGATACTTAAGTCATTATGACAGAATACCCCCATGCCCTCTAAACAGTATTGTGTCATGTCCACTTGTGTTTTGAACACTTCCAAGGATGGTGACTCCACAACTGCCCTGGGCAGCCTGTGCCAATGTCTGACCACCCTTTCAGTGAAGAAATTTTCCTCAATACTCAACCTGAATCTCCTTTGACACAACTTGAGGCTGTTTCCTCTTGTTCCATGGCTTGTTCCATGGCGGAGCCCCACCCAGCTATCACCGCCTGTCACGGAGCTGTAGAGATCTGATCCTGCCAGGCACAGCCGCGGGGTTTTGGCCGCTGCATTTCACAACGCAGAGTGAAAACCCGGTATCTCACCCGAAGTCCCCCGGGCCGAGGACACCGGTGCCGGCGTTCTGGGCCGGGGTGCAGCCGTGACCCCGCTCTCTCCCCGCTCGCCCGACCCGTCGTCCCTGCGGCCAACACCCGCCGGCCACCGCCCTGGGCAGCACGGGGTGCCGCGGGTGGACTGCCCGGTGCTCCGCGGTGCCACTGCAGGAGGCGGCACCGCTGGGACTCGGCTGCCCCCGAACCTCGGCAGCCCCGGGACGGAAGGGACAGGCGGCCTCGCGTCCGGCTCACCTTCCGCCTCCCAGCGCTGCAGCTCAGCGGGGCCGCTGCGGCGGGAGCTGCCCAGCAGCTCGGCGGGGAGCGGCTCCATCCGGCCGTCCAGGCGCTCGGGCGGGCCCAAGTGGCGGGCCCCGGCCGCCGCCGCCAGCCGGCAGTGCTCGCCCAGCCCCGGCGGTAGCGCCGCCAGCAGAGCTCCGCGCTGCGCCGTGTCCAGCTCGGCCCAGAACCGCAGCAGATGACTCTGTCCGCACCGCTCCAGGCGCGCCCGCACCTCCTCGGGTGGGTCCATGGCG